AATCTAACTCGTCTAACTACCGCCCCATTAGTCTTCTTCTTATCATAAGCAAGGTTTTTGAGTCTTTAATTAACAAACACTTAATCTCTCATCTTGAATCTAATAACTTACTTTCTGATCATCAATATGGTTTCTGAATTTCTCTTTCTTTACTACTATTTCTTTACTGCTGATTTGTTAACAGTTATAACCGAGAGGTATTATCATGCATTAGATAGATGTTGATTTTGGGCATTTGATGTTGAAAATGATCTCACTTATGCTTCAACATAGGGCTTTCAGTGGCTAGTGAACTTTAACTCAGATAAAACAAAAACTCAGATAAAACTCTTTTTTTTTTCAGCTAATCATAATCGCAATAATCTAGATCTTCCTATATTTATGAACGGTATGTACTCGATGAGTCATTTACCCTTCATCTTACTTCAGTCTTACTTTCAATCTATCTTGGAAACCATATATCAAATTTATTGCAAAATTAGCGTCTGCTAAGGTTGCATCTCTTTATTGTACTTGCCAGATTCTATTCTTTATCTCTATTAATCTGTCTTTGTATGGAATACTGTTGCCTTATCTGGAGCAAATCTGAATGATGTAAAACATATTGTATGGAATACTGTTGCCTTAGCTGGAGCAAATTTGAATGATGTAAAACATATTGCAAACATAGTTGGACCCGCGCTTGCAGCCAACCTTCAACCATTGTCACATCGTCATAACATTGCTTCTCTTTCCCTCTAAAAAGCTAGCGTCTCTTGTGCCATCTACTATAATTCATTCTTGTGTTACTTGTCATTCAATCAAGTCTCATCCTTTTACTGTGACTGTTCCTAAGTGCTCCGAAAATTTTTTTTGTCTAGTTTTTTTCCTGGAACATCACTTCTTTGGAATTCACTCTTTTTGTCTTGTTTTCCTGATTCTTTTAACTTGCAATTATTCAAGTCACTTGTTAACCTTTATCTTGCTTTATAAACTTCATCTTGAAAAAAATGATTTTTCATAAAAAATTAAAGAAAATAAAAGATTTTCTCTCCTTTATGAAATTAAAGAAGAAGATTAAAGATTAAGAATTTTTTTTTTTATTGAGTTCTAAACAATAAGGAAAACTTAAGAATTTAAAATATTCGTGGTAATATTGTGATAAACTTTATCACAATATTACCATAAATATAATTTCACAAATATTACCATAAATATTTCAATATTTCTTTAATGCATCAGGTTTGGTCGGGAAGCGGGTGCGATCGCACTCGATAACTGACCACGGAAATAATATTTAGTTGCGAAAAACCGGCCAGATTTTTTAGTCGTTTTGAGAACATTTAAGTTTATCTACAAAAAATTTTAACCACTAATTCATTTTCCTCAGTGTACCCGATAATTGATTCTTTCTCGCAAAAAAGAAAAGTTTTTAAGTTCTTAGAAATTGGTTTACTAACTTCATTTATTTTTGCTTCAGCCATTCTTACAAACTCGTTATACTTAAAGTTACTTTTTCTGTTTTAAATACTAATTAAAATTATGAAGTCAACTTACTAAACATCACCAACGGTATTTGAAGCAGTTCCGCTTCCTCCTCACAAATTAATTTAACGTTTTTTGTTAATTTTTATCTAGCTAATTGAATTTCTACAGTAACTCAATGATATAATTATTTCATTTGTTTATCTTACTAAGAAGAATTGTTTCAAATGTGTTGAACTTTTTAAACTACGCGAAGCATAAAACAGTTATTGAAAAAATGTTTTTATTTATAAATAAATCATCTGGTTGAATCTTTTTGGACTTTTTTAGGGCCGGGTGCTGCATTATTTTAGCGGCCATTTTATGTGCCACAGCTTAAAAATGACTATAAAAAATACTGATCGGTTCTCCTGACTATTTCCCCTAACACTGTGAGTCCCGGGACTATAGCCCTACTACACCCGCCTCACCTCCTCAATCCAGCACTGGAAATAAGACATAAGTATATAAATAAAAATTAGATATACTCTTTGATAAATCGAAGGACATTTGTTTCTTTATAGTTGTTACTTAAGATAAAAAATGTCGCTTAATTTTATAAAAAAAGTTATAAAAGAGCGACGTTTCAAAAATAATTGCTTTAATAAATTTATTTTGCTTTTTAGCGTTAAAAGCTATTTTTCTTTTTTTAACTGTCTCTCATCGGTCCAGTTAATCTAAATGCGCTTTTTTGTGTTTTTTTAAAATGTTCTCAAAACGACTAAAATATCTGGCCAGCTTTTCGCAACTAAATAATATTTCCGTGGTCAATTATCGAGTGCGATCGCACCCGCTTCCCGACCAAGCCTGATGCATTAATATGAAGGACTAAACTTTAAATTACATAGAAACTTACTGATCCAATTGTGTAAGCAAGTATATCTACAATATATTGATGAGACTTCGCAACAACACTATCCCCATTAATCTCTATAATGCGATGACCAACACGTACTCCTGCTCTTTCAGCTATACCACCACGCAACATACTGCAAATCTGTAAATAAAACAAGTTTTTTAACTAAAATACAAAATGAAATTTTTTAGTTAAAGTAACTTATGTTACTTTTTAGCTCACATTCAGCCACAAATTGGTAAAATAAAGGCTAAAAATATTAATATATAAATTAAAAAAAAAAATTAATATATAAATAAAAAAAAAAGCCTATAGTAATAGTAACGAGGGCATTTAGCTTAAAACTAAAACAAATGTGTAAGTGAGCAAATTTAAAAATGGTAAAGTTTTGCCTGCAGTGTGTTCATTGATATAGCTTTATTGCGCAAATTTTTATAGAAATAATTATGATTATGTTATAATGTTTTGGAATTTATTTCCTAAAAAGTTATAAAATATTTTTTATTGCAATAAAAGTTTAGTTGGAAAATAATAATTAAAATATGTTAATTGAAACTATTGTATTTAGTTATTGTGTTTATATTATAATAGCCATTACATACTATATAAGGAATAATGTTGTAACAAGTTAGAAATTTTTATTTTTATTTAACTAAATAGTAGAATTTTTATTTCAACTTTAAACCAAACTTTAAATAAGTTTTTTATTTCCCTAAAAATTTCTAAATTTTAAATTAGTTCTGATATGGAAAAATATTCATGTCTGTTTGTTTGTTGTATAAAAAAAAAAGACAATTTATGACACCATGGAAGCAATTTCTGGGATAAAAATCGATACAAAATTTATCAATGTTTTACAGGTATAAATTTATGGAAAAGCATGTAAAAGATTACATGTGCATTATCATAATTTAATAATGGCCATGCTTAAAACATTCAAAAACTTTTTAGTCTTTATTAAAAACAATTCTTTTTTATGAAATATTTTGTTTCATCAGATTCATTAAATTTTTACTCAAGAAAATGGTAACATAGTTGAAAACAACAACAACAACAACAACAAGATACTTATTTTCCTTTTCAAAATTCACATATAATCATATAATAACAATAATAATAATACTATCTATAATAATACAAACAATATAATTATAATAGAATATAACTAATAAGAATAAATATAAATAATTATTTGAAAAGGAAGGTGTCACTCAAACAGAAGCCTGATCAAAGGAGTGACACCAAATAATTATAACAATAATAACTAAAAATAATAATATTATCGATAATAATAAAAATAATATGATGACATAAGTGTCTCTCATGATCAAAATGAGTGACACCAATTAATTATAACAAGTAGTATAATAATAAAATAGTAATAAAAATAACAAACATGAACCGAAAATCGCTAAGAAAATAAATAAAATAATAATAACAACGATAAACCTAAAATAAGTTAAAATAAGACAAAAAGTATGAAAACACTCAATAACAACAGCAAACAAAAATAAAAATAATTAGTAAAACAGAACAAATATAAAACAAACCTTACTCAAACGAAAAGGCAAAATACAAAAACTACAAGATGAAACCCAAAAAATACAAAATGATAAGGTAAACAAATACTTCTACAAAATAAAATAAAATTAAATCGCTAGATATTTAAATATTACAAATTAAATTGTTAAAAAATAAGTATAAAACAACCAATCTTCTTATTCTTTGTTTGTAAATTTCTTTATTTTTCCTTTTTTTGTTTCTTTTTATTTGTTAACTTTTTTTTTCTTTTTTTTTTTTCTTTTTTTTTTTGTTCTTTTATTGTTTTACGTAAGAGTTTTTTTTTTTCAGTTCGAAATTCTGTTTATCTTTTTGTAAATTTTTTCTCTTGATTTAACTGTTTGTTATAAATTAATTCATAAGAGCTTGATTATGATTTATTTGTGATTATGATTTATTGGTGACTTTTTTAAAAACAATATTTATCTTTTGATTTGAGTTTAACTTTATTCTTTATCTTTACTTTAGCTTTTTTAACGGTTAAAAAAACAAGACCACCCAAAAAAAGGTATGTAAAAGAAAATGCTAACATAGTTAAAAAAGATATATAAAAGAAAATGTAAAAAGAATATCATTTGTATTGATTGTTTATTTATAGTTTTTGCGAAACTTTATACTTTTAAAGCTTGAACCCTATTATCAAAAGATATTTAAATAAGTGTGCATGTTGTTGCAAATAGTTTGAAATATTAAAATTCTAAAATATTTTAGCTATGTATTTTTTTTTCTGTTAACAAAAACTGTTTTGTAAGTTTTTATTGAAAATTAAATAATGCAAAATTTGAAAAACTATAAACAATGTTTTATGAGTTACATGATCCGCTAATTACCATAAAAAACACATTTGCTTTTTTTGAAACATCTTTACTTCCAATAAGCAACAACTATTAAAGTTGAAAGTTACTGGAACAGAAAAGATGAAGTTTATTAAGCAAGATAATAATTAACAGACAGCTTAAAAGATTACAAATTATATGAATCAGGAAAACAAGATGAAGGCAGCAAATTCCAAAGAACTGATGTACAATAAAAAAAACTAGACAAATAAGAATTTTTGGAGCACTTGGGAAGAGCCACAGTTCAATAATAAAAATAATTGAATGACTAGTAATACAATAATAAAGGTTGGCTGCAAGAGCAGGTCCAACTATGTTAACGATCCATTTTTGCACCTTGCCTAAAAGAGGAAGGGCATCATTTGAAAATCTGCCCCAGATATGGCAACAGTACTCCATACCAGGACAGTTTAGAGATTTATAGTAGGGAAGTTCGATTTCACTTTCTAACCAGTTTCAAAAAGTATTCTCTGATTTGGAAAGTGTTTGTAAATAAAATGTATTTATATTGGAAAATGTTTATTTATCTATACTTTATTGTTTGAAGGCAAAAAAAAAAAAAAATGAAAATTTTCAACTTTCTGAGAAGTGGAAATAGATTGAATTCAATCTATTTGAAATTAAATTTATAGTATTACTATTAATTAAATTTGACCTTACTTCCCTATACTTTTTAATCACTTCCCATTGGAAAGTCAAAAAATAATTTAAGCAATCTTTTTTTTAATTTTCTTTATTTAATAAGATTTCTTTTTTACAAATAGTTGATTATATTATAGTCAATAGAACTTTTTCCTGGTCAAGAAGTAAAATATTTTGACAAAATTTTTTGTTTAAAAATATCGTAAACACGTGATCAAAGTAAAAGCAAAATAATTTTTCCAATTGAAGCATACTCAATAAAAGTTATTCCTTAGTTAATAGAAGTTATCCCTTAGAAGTTGTCCCAAGATAACTTCTATTGATACTGTTTAACTAAGATTTCACTATTTTATTCTATTACTCTAATAAATTATAAAAAGTGAGATTGCAGTTTGTTAGGCGTATGAAGTATATTTATTTTGAATTCAATTTAAAAAATGAAAATGATAAAAAAAAAGCTTGTATTTTCAAAATACCAGCCTTTGTTTATTTTATAGTTTTTTGCGTTAAAATAAGAACTCTTTAAAATTAAATCAATAATTAAACTATATTTAATTATATAATTAAAAAATTTTAATTCATGAACAGTAATAAATATATTTATTTTTTTAAATTACGAAAAAACCATTTTTAGCTTTGTGCGCAAATATTTTAGTTATAAGTATAATAGAAACTAATCTTTGCATAACGTCTTTGCGTAATCAAGCCAGCACATTTAGCAAAAAGTAGTTTATAATTTTACATTAACATTTTTTTTTCTATGAAAGTAAATAAACTGGGACAGGTCTTAATAAGATTCAGGTGGTCGAAAATTAATAAAATAGATAAAAATTAAATAAATTTTTATAACGACTTTCCAATGGAAAGTGATTGGATAGTGTAGGGAAGTAAGGTCAAATTAATAGTAATATAATATTTTATTACCATGTAAAAATTTAAAGAAAGTGATTAATTTTTAAATACTTTCCACTTTCCGGATATTGGAAATAGATTAAATTCAATCTATTCACACTTCCCGGAAAGTTGGAAATTCATTAAAACTTGACTTTGTTTAATGTCACATTAATTATAAAATTGAAACAATTTATTTTCATTATAAAAACATGAATCATTTTAAAAATTTCCATTTTCTTAGGGAAAGGAAAATTTTCCACTTTCTTGAGAAAAGGAAAACTTTCCATTTTCTTGGGGAAAGGAAAGTGAAATCGAGCACTCCTAATTTATAGAGATAAAGTATAGAACCCAGAGTAAGGAAGTGGCAAGCATGATAAAGAGATGCAACTATAACAGAGGCTAAATTTACAAAGGATATATGGTTTGCAAGAAAGATCGAAAGTAAGACTTAATCCTAGAAGACAAAGGGTAGATGACTTATCTACAAACACACACACATGTAAAGGGTAGATATAATGCCTGCAGAGTCACTGACACTAGAACCAGCCATTCAGTGTGAGGAGCATTTAAATCACAAACAACAAGGATATTGGCTGAAGGAATCACAAACAACAACGATATTGGCTGAAGGAATCACAAACAACAACGATATTGGCTGAAGGAATCACAAACAACAACGATATTGGCTGAAGGAATCACAAACAACAACGATATTGGCTGAAGGAATCACAAACAACAACGATATTGGCTGAAGGATAGTGTTGGTAAATTTGAGTCTTGAGATGAAGGAGAAATAACAAAAAAGTTTCCTGACTAAAAAAAAGTTAAGTAAAAGTTTCCTGTTTAAATTCTTTAAATTTCATCGTTTAAATGTAAATGCCAAGGCCATGCATGTGACTATTGGAGTCTTTACAAATTAAAGGAAGATCAACACTAAGATCACAAGATGAGACAGCTGAACTCAAATTAGTCAAAAAGCAAGTAGGTCTGGTGAAATTTGCAAGAGATAAAACTCAACAGAAGAAAGTTTACTTCGAAGACCACAAATAATTATGAAAGATAAATTTAGAGAACTTGGTGATTATAATGGTTTTTTTGTATTTTATAGTTTTTGATAATTTAGTCATTTTTAAAATTGATTAAAAACTTGACTCAAAACACAGGTAATACTTTATCTAATAGTCCAATTGTCTCATTACTATAATAATC